GCTGGTAAGAATGGGGAACTTAGGATTAAATGAACATGTGACTGGATATTGTTCATACTGTGAGCACGGAAAAAGAAACAGTTAGCCATTTTTTATGCAAGTGCTCTCACTTCCTTATAGAGAGAGCCATGCTTATTATAGAATCTGGCATAGAAAACGAAAAAGCAATCCCAATTCTCCTGAATTCCACAGACATTAACCATCAACAGGCTCTGGTCAACTTCGTATCTAGAACTAAAAATTAAAAGGGTACACCTGTACCCATACTAACCACCTTGCACCGCACATAATTAATTAAGCTCAAGATGTTTCGCTTTTTTATAGTGGGTAATACATGAAGAAGAAGAAGAGGGAAAGAAGAAGAAAAGTAGAAAAGTACTCAAGAAGAGAAGAGAGAACTGCCTACCGGTATATTAGCGTTTAGAATCTTCTTGTATATGATCTGTTTTTTATTGGTTTTCGGACAAATCTTGAAGAAATGCGGTGGAGACGACTAGACTTAATGGTGGACGTCAGAGGGCCTAGTTGAGAAACATGTCACAAGAAACCGTGTCTGAGTTGGTCCTTGGACATCCAATATAGCCGATAGGCCTTTTGCTTGTCAGCCACTGAACACTTCAACTTTTAAAAAAATAGAGTGTAACTTTTAAGAATCTAATTTATCCTAATCTTTATATTAACTAAAGTATTAAAATCTAATTTGAAAGGAAAAAGATCCGAACAGAAGAGGTTTAGATATTCACTCCTAAATGATAAATGCCTATAGACCAAAAACAACAACAGTATTCAGATCATATCACATGGTCATACACAAACACACTGGAATCATACAAAGACGTTCAACACACAAACCAGAAACACAGAAAGAAAAACTTATCAGGACTTTTACAGGTAGGTATAATCCAGTTGGTGAAACTCTTCTATCTATTTGATATTTTTATATACCAAATTATTCAATTATGTTAATAACATTATCAATTTTGCCCTTTTTTTTTGGGGGGGGGGGGGGCGAGGGATCTTTACGGAAGGAGTGGGGGTAATGGGGCAATAATGTTTGCCCTCCTTGGTGTATCCCATATCTCACAAGAATATTTTTGCCTTTCTGGATTTTACGACAGCTGCTCAAGAACAATTTTTGTTTAAACACATTCCAAATTCTTGACCTCTAACCTGGTTCCAACACTATGTTAAAACCACCATGTAAAATGATAAAGCCCAGAGCAAATGTTGCAGAAGCAAATATCAGATAACCAAACTCTTGAGGTGCACCAACAATATGAATGCGCTATTTGAAGCATACAACTAGATACGCCATTATTTTGGGGCTGAATATTTATGGAGTGTATGTTTAGATGCATAGACAATCATTTACAATTTCAGCTAATAATTCAATCAAAAGTTATCATTTTTCATTATTAAGCATTGAGTCACTCTCTTGAGCAAGATGTTGTCTTGTAATTCTTTGCTTCTTTTTTTTTTTGGGGGGGGGGGATATCTACATGCTCTGATATTTCATTTTTCTGAGCAATGTTTTAGATTATCAATGATGGATCAAAACATACCAGTAATACTTTTAAAACCATCAGAAAAATACCCCAAATTAAATTAAATCTAGCAGTCACACTAGGCCTTAGTCGCACCCTACAACACAATGAAAAATGAAATAAAATACCTATTTACCTATACAATGCAAAAGTTTCTACATATGATTTGGAAATGTAAACACAGACTCATCGCCACAACTTCACAACCATCAACTTCATCAATCATGGCTACGACACAAACAAGACAGCCAAACCTCTCTTGTGATCCTCATTCTGGAAACGATGTAAGGTAATGACAATGGATGCTCTGCCCTGCTACCATTGCCAATGTTCTATGCATCCCTTGAATACTTGTGATCCTCATTCTGGAGACTATGTGAGGGGCGACGATGGATGCTCTGCCCTGCTGCCATTACCAATGTTCATTGCATCTAGTGAATAGTTGTGATCTTCATTCTGGAAACGATGTGAGGAGTGATGATTGATGCTCTGTCCTGCTGCCGTTTCCAATGTTCTCTGCATCCCTTGAATACTTGTGATCCTCATTCTGGAAACGATGTGAGGAGTGACGATGGATGCACTGCCCTGCTGCCATTGCAAATATTCTCTGCATCACTTGAATACTTGCACCCCTCTGCCGACCAAATTTCAAATGTTCAGATTACCAGCTATACTTTGATATTGTACTGTTCCTCAAGTATGAAAGGATCTGTTTCTCAAGCTCTGATCATGGACACTAGTATCCCTCGGTTGGGCAACTTCACGTTCAGATGTGCAGATTCTTTAAAAGGCATGTTGCAAATATTGGGAGTAGAATACCCATGGGCAGCTTAAATCTTTAGTTTCAGTTTCTCAAGTGGATGTAGGAAACTCTCTCCTTGGGGCAACATTGTTTTTGCAGCAATGCAACTCTTCAGAATCATGATGTCGAGATAACTGTAGGTATTGTGAAAGCAAAATGAACGTATGAAGAAAGGGGTAAATGTCAAACTCAAAGCCAACATACGAGAAACTGTTTTATTATGCATTATCTTTTGTATTGTGGCTATTGTGACAAAACGTATCTTTCAAGATGTTGAAACATTAAAAAAAAGCAATAGATGTACGAAAAGATTTTTTAAATTCATTATAAAAGAAATATGGTAATGAATTCAAAATATCATTAAAAAATGCCAATTTAATGGTTTCATTACAACAATCAATGGGAGCAAATCTTTTGATCTGCTTCACACCATTATTTTCTCTCCTCAATGCACAGAGGGAATTAATCATTCTAGCTCAGGAGAAAATATGATTTTGTATTGAGGATTTTAGCCGACCAGATTTATCAACACATCTTGTGCTTCAAAAAGTACTCTGATGACCATGTATATTTTTGTTTCAATATCGCATAGTTTACGAAAAGTTTATCAAAAACTCACAACAAAGAGACGTGCATGACAAGGATCTGCTGGGGTATCCATGAAGACAGTGCACTAGGGATCAGAGAGCCAGCAGTAGATTCTGGACTCGGAATGATGTAGGCATGCCTAGGAGTGAGTGCTCTCTTGGTACTTCTGCAATACAGAATCTGTGGAAGGACAAGGAAAAATGTATGGAGTTAGATCCATGAAAAAAATTAAATTCATATATTCATGAATTGTTTTCCAGCACGTCTATGGTTACCTATCAACTTGTGGTCTGCCGATTATTGAGAGCCAGAAGGGTTTTAACTCCAAAACTTTCACTCCAAGTAAAATGGAATGAATTTGCAACCTCATCCAGTGTAGCGATTAATGATACTGTTCTACATGTAGTGCATCTAAGAATATCTTAACACATATGAGAATAAATTGAGAAGCAATCGCTACATCCAAAGATCTTTAAATATACCTGTGGATCTGTAATGAGAGACGCAAGACATCTATATCATGATCGAGTCCCAGCCTAGCCAGCACCATGCCTTCCTTGAACCAGAGAATTTCCTCCTGTGTCCTCATAAGTGTGGCAATAGCAGAAAGTCGTGAGGTCCAAGAAGTTTCTCATCTTGCCTTGTAGATTCATCACTTTGCTCTGTGGGTGATGCAAAGATTATATAAATGTTCCCATTTAAATTACACTGTCGATGCGAGTCAAAAGCAGGAAAATCAGTGTTCACAAAGTAATTTTTTTTTAATGGCCAACGATGGGGTGCGAGCATGACTGAAGATAGAGACTGTAATCTCAGATCCTCATTAGCAGTAGGGGCGCTGGTCCGAGAACGAGGATCGTCCTCATAAACGCTGACACGATGCATCCTCAAAAATGAGGATGGCCTGCATTTTCGCGGACATTTTTTTTCATCGGCACTCTGCGGGTTTCGGGTTACCGAACCGCCCGCTAGCGATGCCAAAATAGATTCCCTGGGGAACATAACCCTAGTTCACTGTCTACTTTTATGGGTTGTCCGCCTTCCCAAGGATTTATTGCTCATAATGTGAAGGTCTCTATACAAAGTCAATGTAAAATGCATCAAGAAAATCATCAGGGAATCCGTTTTTTGTATCACCAATGTGCCGATCAAAATATGAAAATGATCCTTATTTTTGAGGACGCATTGGTCGGTGTTTACTGAGACGATCCTCGTTTATGAAGTCGATCCTTATTCTCGGACCAGCGCCCCTACTGATTAGATTCATGTGAGTAATTTATCATTACGGTCCCTAACTTCACGCACGCGTGCGCCTCTACACCTCACCGTCAATACGCTTTACGGTATGCAATTGTAATGTGCAACAATTTACAGTGAAACCTGTGAAAAGTCTATTATAAATATGTCTTCTTTTAAATATTTTTTAAAAGATAAGAAACAGGGTAATAATCAGGGTAGATCTAAGAAACATAAGGACTTTAAATAATGACCATTATTGGAACAATTGATGAAGATTTAGTCTTCTTCGTCTTCTTCCATTAGAGTACAGTCCGCCGTTGGCGTATTATCGTACCTTGTGCTTGTCAAGTGCCGAGTGTACAGTGCAAATAAAAAGACTCTAGACCCTAATGCCTAGTTGACACTTTCACGATTTTCGGTTCCCGCATAGTTCACGCACTGAAATTGCATCATGCGTGCCAATGCGTGGACACTTGCAGGAAGGGGCGGGACGATGCGCGGCAATGCGCGGCAATGCGTGAAGAGCGAAAAAAAATTTCAACATGTTGAAAATTTTGCCACACACTTCCCGCATTGCAGCAGTGCGTGAACTGTGCGCAAACTATGCGCAAACAAGTCGTGCCAATGCGTGCCAGTGCGTGGCGTAAAAACAGTGGGTACCCCACCCCCGGGAATGTGGCACGCACTTCACGACTAGTTCACGACATGGTCCCGCATAATTTGCGCAGTGGTTGCGCATCCTTCGCGCACTTTCACGCAAGGATCGCGCATATCAGTCACGTGATGCGTTTTGTCAAAATATTCTTGTTTGAGCCAGCAGCAAAATCATGGCTTCATCCTCCTCATCAGATAATGATGGGACAGAGAACACAGAGCATGAAGAGAAAACTAAGCGAACAAAAAGAGCACGTACATCTAAAAGGGATGTCCCAGAGTACAAGTGGACCGAAGACGCTGTTCAATTAATAGCCGATTTTGTGAAGGAAAATTCAGCACTATATGATAAGACCCAGAAAGATTACATGAATGTTGCTACGAAGGGAAGGATGTGGGTGAATGGCGGTAAATTATTGGATCCACCTGCCACTGGTAAGTTCTCAATTTTGATGGTTGGTTAGTTAAGTTCAATACCCATGTTTTAAAAATCCTCCTTTTGTTTTTTGTTGTCTGCATTACTAGTTAATAAGAAAGTAATTTACTGGGAAAATAATTGTTGATATTTTCCTTTATAGAAATTAAATGTTTTTATTTTTTATTTTTAGGGTTAAACTTCACCACACAAATAGCCTATTTATTGTTTTCCTTGTTTTTAATGTAGGGGACCAGTGTAAGAAGTTGTACGAAAATAAGCGAACTCGGTTAGGAAAGATATTGAACAAGGAGAAAAAAAGTGGATCTGGGCAAACCAACAGAACGACACGTGATGATGAGATAGTGAACACGTGGGGATTTCTGAAGCAACACATTGTTCGTGGCAAGACAACGGCAAGTGACACGGTAGGTATATAAATGACCAATTCACAATTTTTATATTGAAATATTAGAATAACCTTGAAATAACCTTCAGAACCCTTTTCATAATTTTCATTTTGATGTTTCTTCACCTTGCAGTTTGATAGAGAAGGGGAAGTGCACGAACGAGAAGATGATGAAGTTTCTGTCATGTCAGTTTCAGAAGATATGGATAATGAGACCTTGATCCCGTTGAAGGATCGGGTCCCAAAGTCGGCACGCTCCGAAGCCTCTGGAACTTCTGGCAGTAGAACTCCAGCTTCTCGATCAAGTACTGTTTTGCAGAATAACCTCGACGATGCTCTCCGTCAGGTAGGCATTATAGAACTTTTTTTTTTTTTTTTTTTTAAACAATTGAATACATTACCTAAGCCGGATCCGCTTTCAATAGTTCCATTTGGAAACTATAGAAATTAATTCACAACAAAAAGTATCATTGAAAATTAATTCTTCGACAATCGATCTAAATTTGTTGAGTATATGGCAGTAAATGACAGTAATCAGACCCTGACTTTAATTGCCTTACTAAATTACATTTGGTTATATTGTTTATGCCTTTCAGGTTCTTTCAAGAGCGGATAATTTGGGCCAGACAGCTGCTTTGACAGGTCAAAAAAAGATCGTCCATGATTTTGCCTGTCTTCTGGAGGGCCATATGCAGAAAATTCCAGAGCAATCGTGGCACAGTTTCCAAATTGAATGTCTGCAACTCGTTCACAATTTCAAACAGCCAACCAGGCCAACTCAACCATGTCAACAGCAACCCTCGTCATGGCAGTCAAACCAGTGGCCAATCAATAGTCATTGGTCCAATTTCAATCAATGGTCTCCAGCAAGTCCATCCTTCAACAATGTTGGGATGCCAGCCGCGCCTTCAGCTGTGCCTGTACCGATACCAACGTCTTCTCAGCAGTCCACTGCTTCGACCCCACCCTCCCGACGTAGTAATGAGATGGTTTCCTCGGTTCTGGAAGAGCTTGGAGAAGAAAAATAATGTGTTCAACAGCAGCCGGTGATTAAGAAAAGGCAATACTGGTTGCAAAACTAACGTCTTCCATATCGGGACACTCTTTCAGTACTTACCTTAATTCTTACATGGTAAAAAAAAATAAAAGTAAAAAAGAAATTGTTATTTGTTGTTGCCTTTGCAAGGAATTTTATTAAAAACCCACTCGGCAAGAAAACCATTTATTTATACATTTGGAACAGAGGTATAATATTTTCTGAAACGTAAACCAGAACTACACACTGAAGAGCAAGGGTAAAATGTGACAGTTTGATCAAAGTCGGAAAATATATTCCAGATTTTTGAATGTTCTGAGTTCCAGGGAGAGCTTCGATGGATATTCTTGATTTAGACATTTTGACATACTCATGCATGATGCTTTTATCAAGAAACAAAATGAAAGGTTTACTGAGTGGAAGATTTTTTGGTTCCTACGTTTTTACATTTGTTCTAGTAGTTGATTAGTTCATGTTACTCACTTGTTACAACTTTAAAGTGTTCAAAATATCATTGAGAAATCTTGGTAATTATAACATGTCTATAAGGTAGTTCAAATTGGAGATTCAGTTGTCAGTCACCATGAAACTTAACGTTATCCTGCAGACTTATTTTCTTTTCTTCATCACACGTTATTTAAATTGCATTTATGTGAGCATATCCAGAATGCCTAAGTTTTCTACTCGGTTATGTTTCTTTTATTAAAAAACACGCAATTCGTGCATTCTGATTGCTTCTGATTACAAGTCTCTTATTACACACAAAAAACAAAACATGTAAAGTTGTTTATATTAAGAGTAACATATTGACAAATCAAAGGCTAATCAAAGACTGCAAAGATAGGTGAATATCAAGGCCTTTAATAAAATGGGTAACTATAAGCACTTGATATTTTTCATTGGATTTCAAAAATGATTGTTAAGTTTCCGCACAATTCGTTCAAGTGCACCTATTCATACGAGATAACACCGTCAACTGTTTGACTATTACATATATACATATGTTAATAGCATCTTCTTAAACGATGTAAAAGCATGATCGTATCAATAAATGATATTCAATTTCCCAGTTTTTCCTATCTCTCACAGATGTTTTGTGTAAAATATGATTGATGAATGGATACAATAATTCATTAATAAAGCGCAAGCTGAACGTCTCCAACGTCAGTCTACCGTCTGATCCGCGTTCAGGAAGCGTTTTTAATTTTCAAAAACGCTGGGCCGACGCAGGCTAAAAACGCAAAGGTGTGACACAGCCTTAACACGTGACTCTTGGTCACGTGTCATGACGTATGTCATGCACTTCCTGTCTGCTATAGCTTGTTATAACTTTTTGTTTGTAAGAATCCGTTTTAATCCATAAGTGGTTATTTTTCAAAACATTCTAAAGGTTGAATCAATAAATGTATCTGTACCCGTGTTTATATCGACCCCCCAAAAAAACCAAACTGTTCTTCTTGCGTTAAAGGGTTGCAAAGGGGGGATTTAAAAACAATAAGATATAATAAAATACCTGCAGAGAAGTGCATGGCATACTTCATGCCACGTGACCCAGCGTTGCCAGTTAGCATGATAAATAACTTTTGCGTTATATTCATAACTTTCTTATTTATTGTCCGATTTACTTCAACGTTTTTGGTTTTGTTTTAATTGTTTTGTTTTTCGTCTGATTTATCTGCTTTTAATCAATACAAGATTTTTTTCTGGTGCGGACCCAGTCTTTAAATGTGCGTTCATGTGTATGTGTGTGTGTGTGTGTATGCGTGCGTGTGAGGAGTGGGGTTTGTGCAAGCTTACTAGAAATACGAAATTTCTATGCCCCGACACCAACTGCATCACGTTTAAGTTCAACAACAAAGCTTACCAAAACCCCTTAATTTCCTGACAACATTAATTGCTGATACACTGTAGAATTTTTGTGTACATAAAGACAAACACATTATAAACACTGATCTCATATCCTAAGTTTAAAATCAGATGTACAACAGACGGTTGATATTGGAACGATGTCGGGCCTTGTTGAAATACATAACCATTCAAGAAATAAAATGTCATTTGTGTCAGTGTCATTTGGCATTTTTTGTGGAATTGAGCTAGTGCTATACTGCATCACAATAATGTCATAGTTAATCTGCTTAGGTTATCATCTTTTCTTGCCAGGAAACTGCTCCAGCGCGGGAGGTGTAATAATGTGATAGATATGCACGTTGGCTCTTAGCTTCCTTGATAGAAGTGTTTCCTGTCGGAGCTCTCAGACCGTGAAACACAGGGTCGTCTCTCCATGCACCAGGCATCATCGCATGCGTAGATGGATCTTCATGGTCTACATCTCCTGATGCCAGTGAGTACCTGGTTAATATCAGATTATGTAGGACGCAGGCACTCATGATGATTAAGTTGGTATTTTGGGGCTTCTGCGGAAGTGTAGTCAGGAAACATCTGAACCTAAATCAAGTAATACCATAAAACAAGAGCCCATCAATATGAAATATATATATATTTTTTACGATCTGTACATATGAATCTTGATTTTAAAATAATCACGCTTCATTTGGAGTAAAAACAAAATATTGTACTTGTTATTTGGAGAAACTAGATATACTGAATACTAAAGAAAAAGATCACTATAATAAATACAAACAAAATGAGAGCATCTGCTTAGTGTATCATTTCAGATTTGTTAGCAATTGCAGTCTCGCATGGTATTTTGTGCGTAAGCTGCAGAAATAGAAACATGTGTTGATAAAATAAACACCATATAAAAATTCTACGTTATGCTGGTTTAAACAAAGTGGGTTATTATGATAACAACTCCTTTCTGGGGGGAAGTTAAATATTTTTATTCAATGTGCTTGAACTTTTAAAGCAATAGGCACTGAGAATGGAAATGAATACAGAAAGAAAGGGAGACCTACCTGTGAGCCAAAATACCAAACGAGTTTTCCACTACTCGCCTAGCTCGGCTTAGTCTATAACTGAAGATGATCTCCTCATGAACTTGGGACCTATGTGAGAAGGGCTTCATTAGCCAGGGCTTCATCGCAAATGCATCGTCAGCCACAAATTGGAAAGGTATGGGCATGTCATCATTGGGCATTGGTTCCGGTGGCGGCACCCCTGCTCTTTCCCCTTCTATGGCATCATACAAGTTGCAGTTTTTCCAAGTTCCACCATCTGCTACAGCCATGAGAACAATAATATGGAAACCTTTATAGTTAAAGTACAAGGACCCAGACTTTGGCGGCTTCCTGATTGCCACGTGTTTGCCATCGACGGCACCAAGGCAATTATGATAGTTCCATCTGGAACTGAACTTCTTGGCCACATCCTTCCACCCATCTTCAGTTTTTGGACAGCTGAGTACTTCCTTTTTATACACTTCAATGAGTGCATTACATACTTCGGGAATAAATCTCGATATGGTGCTTTTCTCAACTCGAAAGCTGTACTATTATGTAGCATAAGAATTTCCTGTTGCCAAGAAACGGAGAGTGACGGCTAGTTTCAGTCCAACTTCTAGTGGTTCTCGCATAAACGTTGTTTTCTTCTCCAGATGAGGCGTTAGCTTTCCAACCATTTCCTCAAACAGATCAGGAGTGATTCTCAAAAAATTCTTATAGCTCTTTTGATCCTCCCTATGCAGCTCTGCCAGTAAATGATCAAAATGTCCGTGGATGTGGCGTCTTGACAGCCAATCTCTCACCCACAATGTCCTCCTTTTTCTTTTTCCTTTTTTCTCCTCTTCTCGTCTTTCTTCAAGATCTCTTTCTTGTTGATAAACTATTAATGCTCCTGCAGCTACATATAAACACCTTCTCTGTTCTAAATTAGCTTCTTCAGAATTCAACATCTTATTCTTAATGACGATAGTTCTGCTGAATTAATGAAAAACACGAGAGCGAATAGACGTCTGCCTTGTTTTTTGTGATAGTTAACACAATGCGCAAAGTAGTTGTGAATAGTCGTGAACTATGCGTGAACTATGCGTGAACTATTCGTGAACTATGCGTGAACAATGCATGAATGCGGGAACTATGCATGACAGTGCGTGTTACTGAAGTGGCACGCACTGTCACGCACTGGCACGCATTCAATGCGGGGCAGTGCGGGACCAAAAATCGTGAAAGTGTCAACTAGGCATAACTTTAGACTACAAGAAGTCTAGTTGATTTTTGTATGGATATGGATTATGATCATGATGATTCTGAATTAGATCTAACTTAGACCCTAGGCCTAGCGCCTAAATTATAATTAGATCTAGACTATTATAAAAAAAACTAATTTTGAAATTTCTAGTACTACTCTACCTTCTTGTTATCAACGAGATGAAAGGGGCTGTATCAACATCAAAGCACACCAGCACAGCAATATCGGGGCTTCTCAGCTCTCTCGAGCTCTCACTGCACTGCACTCTCAGCTCCGAACATGTGCTCGCTTGTTTTTCCTCAGCACCGCGAAGGAGAAATGACCGTCGGGAGGCGAGGGCAGCTGGCCTGGGAGAAATAGAGACGCTGTCCTTCACAGACTCAGAGAGCCGATACGAAAGCAGTGCTTTCTTTGCACGAACCATTTGAAATAACGATGCTGTTTCACTGCCAAAAATATCATCAACATTGCTGTTTCAATTACATGGCTTGTTGAGATTGAGTGACGTACGTACGTGGCCGTGGTCGATCAAGCACATCTTGAAATAGCTAGCTCATTTCATCTTGATCCTGGCCTGCGCGCCCCTTGTAATAATTTGGATAGGCCTTGGCGATTATGAGGCGCCGTTTGTAGACCTATTATTTACACCAATATTATATTTAATTTAACAATTATTTATATGTGGTCTAATGCAACTAAACGTGTACTAGTATTGGATAGCCCAAGTATTTATAAATAAAGATTTCACGATATCCAATATATACAAATAATAAATTCCACTAAATTTGTTTAAATGATTGGATTTTTGTACAGTTTACATTGCTTGTAGAGAAAAGAGTTTCTTGAACTTATTATCTATTCAGAGGGAAGGGAAAGGGAAAGAGGAGAGCTAAAGAGGAAGAAGAAAAGAAAAGGGTGAAAAGAAGGAGATCGGTGCATGGGGGGAGGGGTGGGAAAGGGCCTTCCGCCCAGGCCCTTACTCCCCCCCCCCCTCCCAGCAAGCCCAAGAGAGAGAGAGAGAGAGAGAGAGAGAGAGAGAGAGAGAGAAAGAGAAGGAAGGGAAGGGAAAGGGAACATTGCTTGAAGAGAAAAGAGTTTCTTGAACTTATTTGTCTCTTCTTAAACCTACAATAAATGTTCTCAAATATGTGAAACAACTTATTGGTTTGCACACTTGTTTTAGCTTGAACTGTCAGAATGTAGGAGAAAAACGTTTATTATTGACTTGTACAATCAGGCGTGGATACAGTGGGGCCGAGCAAGGACCCCCCCCCCCCCCCCTCGCAAAGAGAGAGAGAGAGAGAGAAAGGGAAAGAAAAGGAGGAAGGAGAAAAGAAAAGGGGGGAAAGAAGGAGATCGGTGAGGGGGCTGGGGTGGGAAAGGGCCTTCTTCCCAGGCTGCTGCCCCCCCCCCCCCCTCCACCAAAAAAAAAAGAGAGAGGGAAGGGAAAGGGAAAGAAGAGAGCTAAAGGAAAACAAAAAGAGGAAGAAGAAAAGAAAAGGAAAGGGTGAAAAGTAGGGGAGATCATCAACAATGCATGGATCGTGGGGGGGGGGGGGTGGATATCAGCTGCAATATTCCAGATGCACTCACTGTGGATCGGGGCGGGGGGGAGGCCTTCCTCCCAGGCTGCTTATTTGAAAAGGTATATTAATGAGAAATAGAAAGAAAGATAGAAAGAAAGAAGGAATAGTGACCTGCAAGTGTCACAAAGGCAAGCCCCTGGATGCTCATCTGATGGTTATTTAATGCCTAAAATCCCTGAGCTTCTAGCCCCCACACCAATTAGTGCTTGAAGATTGGTATTTAAATCACTTTAAATACTTGTTATAACGACCGAATGTCAGGTAAAGGATTTGTTAAAGGCATGCCTTTTTAAGCATGTGACCGTTTTCTAACAATCTGATGGTGTAACTTTCTTGTTCTTGTTCAGCTAACTCCACCCTTCTTTAATTATTGTTGAGTTTTGCTGGCTGTTATCTACAAGTTTAAGCCTACTTTTGCAGTAACAGCTTACTTCGTTGTCTATGTGCATTATTTACTGGCAACGATGGACAACTGATTTTGATGTCTGTCTACAGAACCTTGAATGGGCCACTAGTTCTGACCGGGGGGGGGGGGGGGGGGGGGGGGGGACCAAGCCAGAGGCGAGGGCGGGGCCAATTTGTAAAAAACAATTTAGCTGTGAGCACTTATTTTGTTCATTTATTTTGCTAAAGGGGGGGGGGGGGGGGGAATATGGAGCATTTTCACCCTCTCCCACCCCCCCCCCCCCTGGGCCAAATTGTATAGGGTTCACTCACTATTCTACAAGGTGTTCTATCCACCTCCCAATCATTCTCTCCTATTTTTGGTTTCACATATTTAATGATCCCCTTTCTCTTTTAATTCTCTTTCTCTTCTTCCTAATCCCACTCTTTCTCCTTTTCCCCTCCCTTCCTCTTCTCCATTATCTTTCTCTTCTTCCCCCCATTTCTTTTTGAATTCTCTTTCTCTCCTTCCTAATCCCACGCTTTCTCTTTCATTTTTTTCCTTCCTCTTTTCCCATCTCTTTCTCTTCTTCCCTCCTTTCCTCTCCCATCATCTCTCCTTCCCCCTTTTCTCTTCATCCAACTCTTTCTCCCCTTCTCTCCAAAGCTCAAACAGACTGGTAAATGTAAACTTGTCATTTCTTAAGATCTTCTAAAAGACTGGGTGAGATTTAATTTAAAAATCCTGCTTCTCTGAAAACATATAAAAAATGACTAATTTAGGGATTTCAACAAGCCTTTTTGAATATATTGCTTTTCAATTTCAAGATATTATTTATGATATCACCCCCCCCCCAAAAAAAAGAAGACAATAATGGACATGTCCATCATTCATATACCTCACCAACTAATATAAGCAAGAAGAAAATTAAAAAACAAACAAAACACATAAACATATAATGAATTCTGTAATTTACAAAAATATAATTTATTAAAATTGCCAACCTACAACTCAGAAAGGCTTTGAAAACAAATACTCTCCTAGTTCCAGTATTACCAATCATTTGTTTAGAATACATCAATGTTTATACATTGAAATGTTACATGATCGCAAAGACTTTCGAAAATCAACCTAAAGCAATTTCAACAGCTTTGCCCATTACCTATTGTCTATTGTCTATTACAATGAAATATGTAATCTGAACATGATTTCTTTGGGATATATACAATCAAATATATTCATTGTTAGATCATAGTACCAACTGTACATGTAATGAAAAGCAATTTTACACACACATACATAAATAGGATTGCATCTTTTAAGAACTAGATTATGAAATAATAATGGTCATTTTGTATGCATATTTGCAAATAAACATGGAAAAGAAGGTATACATGTATACAGTCATACACATTACATAAGACATAAGAAAATACAAACACCCCCCCCCCCCCCCCAAAAAAAAAGGTCTTTCATATTCATAACATATATTTCACCCCCATTATTTGTAAAGGATTTATGCGCAGGCACAGATTTTGAAAATGTTATCCAATTTAATTTACTTTGTACTCCATGGTGACTATAGTGATTTTAAATAGTGATTTAAAACAAAAATTGAGTTCACAGGACAGAGCAAAATCACTGAGTAAACAGGTGTACAATATAGAAAAGATTTTTTTTTTATCCAAACTGCATGTAATATCATTGTTGACAGTAAGAAAGATCTTTGACATAAAAAAAAAATGATCAAACTACAAACAAAAAGGTTTATGATATAAAGTTATTACAGTCATTCCATTATATTTATGAGTGCATTTCTTGATTACTGTATGAGTTATTCTTAAGTGTAAAATTACAAGCAGAATAAAAAATGGAAAGATCATTCTTATTTTCCTATTAAAAAAGGAGGCAACATACTTACTCATACATTTAAAGTAGAAATTAATACAATTTAAGGAGTTATATATCTTAATAGCAGAACCACACCTTAAAAAAAATATAACATAGCGAACAAAAATGTAACAGTTTTATCATCATAAGAATAACGGACATAT